CCGAAGCAAGGGCCGCCCTGCCTGCTACCGCGACCAAAGAGGCGGACAGGTCGAAGATCGGAGCACCGGGCACCCCGAGCGCCGCCGCTGGCAAGGCGAGCACGGCCCCTGCGGCTGCGTCGACAGCGACGAAGGCGGGAGGCTCGCGGCCTGCTCCCACCGCTGGCAACTCGGCCATCGCACCGGCCACGGCGAGCTCGACCTCGGCGGCCGCGGCGGGCAAACCGGGCACTACTGCTGGAGCAGCAGCAGCAGCGCCCAAGATACCCACGCCCGCCACGCCGCAGTCAAACGGCCCGCCAAAGCCTCCGCCGGGCCCCGAGGACAAGCCGGACCTCTCCAACATCGAGCTCATCTCGCATGCGCTGCGGTCCGAGCACTGCGCCAACCGGGGAGGCAAGCTGACGCTGCAGGAGGTGTACGAGTGGATCTCGAAAAAGTGGATATGGTTCAAGCGCAACGGCCGCCACACGGGCCGCGACTGGCAGAGCTCGGTGCGGCACGCCATCGGCTCCTCGCGCGACTTTACAAAGATCCCGCGCCGCTCCGACGAGCCGGGCAAGGGCATCTTTTACTGCATGTCCGACAGCGAGCTGGCCCGGCAGCGGCGCGAGACGATCGCAAGGGAGAAGGAGGAGGCGGCAAAGGCGGCCGCGGCCGCGGCTGCCAGCGGCGGAGTCCCCGGCAGCAGCAGCGATGCCGCCCTCAACAAGGCTGCCGGCGATGCGAACGGCGCTGCAGCGGCACTTGCACCGGCATCGGCGCTCGCCGCTCAGCCTGCGTCCAATTCCGTCTCGTCGCCTACAGCGACGGGTACAGCGACAGCAGCAGCAGCCACAGCGGCCGCGGCGACGGCGACGGCGACAGCGACGGCGACGGCGACGGCAGCGACAAAGTCGAATGGCACGAGCTCTGCGGCGATCCCGGCCGTCAAGATCCCGCTGGTGATTGGCGTCGCCCCGACAACGGCGGCGGCGGCGGGCGGCGGCTCGTCGACGCCCGACAAGCCCAAGGCGGCACCGGGGACCATCGAGGCGCTGCTCGAGACGCCGCCGATTGTGCATCACGACGGCAAGCTGTTCCTGAGCCCGCAGGTGTTTGGCCACCTCAATGCTGGGCAGCTGGCGCACATTGAAGGCCTGGGTGCCCAGCAGGCGCTCCAGGTGCTGCAGGCCTACCTCGTCAGCCACCTCAAGGAGCGCATGCGCCTCCAGCAGCTGGCCGCGCAGCAAAAGGTCGATGCGAGCGCCACCAACGCGGCTGCCAGCAACACGGCTGCACCTGCAAAGACCCCGGCACCCTCGACGGCGACGACAATGAATGCTGCAGCAGCTCTGCCAACGTCTGCGACGACGCAGCCTGCTCAGCCGGCGGTGGCAACTGCTGTCTCGTCGAGCGGCGCCTCCAATAGCGGCAAAGCTGCATCCCCTGTCGCGCCCTTTGCCGCGCCTGCGGCTCCACCACGGACGTTGCCGGCCATGTCGCCGCCGGCGGTCGGAGTCTCGAGACCGACCGTGGGCGGCACCAGCGGGGCTGCTGTCGCGGCCGTGGGCAGCATGCCGGCGTCCTCGTCGTCGTCGTCGTCGTCGTCGCAGCCCGTTGCCCATGCGGTTCCGAGACCGCCGATGACGGGCGTGAGGTCGCTGCAGCCCGCGGAGCTGCCGTCGAGCGTGGCGACCAAGTCGACCCTGCCTCTGCCGATGCCGTCTGTCACGGCGTCGCCCGCGGCCGGCGGCGCGCTGGCAAATTCCGGCAACGACGCGTCGCCGGCACCGCCGCCAAAGGCCAGCCCGCCTGCCGTATCTGTGCCGTCCCGGGCTGTTACGGGTGCGCCAGCACAAGCAGGGCCTGGGTCAGAGGCAGGAGTTGGAGCCGGAGTTGGAGCCGGAGCTGGAGCGGGGCCTGCTGTTGCTGCGGCAGGGGCCCCTACCGTGGCTGCTGCAAAGCCCAACCCGCCAGCGACCGCATCCCCATCGCCCGCCCTCACGGCAGCGTCGCCCGTCGGCACGAGCAGCGCGGCGAAGCCGACGCAAGCCAGCGCATCGCCAGCCCCAACCGTCGCCGCCCCCTTCACGCCGGCAGGACCGTCAAAAGGCCCAGCACCTGGATCTTCCGCCTCGCCTGCGCCCGTGTCGGCGCCTGCACCAGGTGGTGCTAGCAGCAGCAGCAGCAGCAGCAGCAGCGCGGGCGGCGTTGCTACCAAGGCCGCCTCGCCACCCGCCAGCGAGGACCCGCTGTCGGCCCTGTCGGCCCTGGCGGCGCACCCAGAGGCGGCGGCGCTCATCGCCCTACTGAAAAAGTCGCAGGCGGGCGGCGGCAACCAGCTGGCCAAGCTGACGCCGGCGCAGCTGCAGCTGCTCCAGGTTGCCAACAAGCTGGCGGCGCAGCAGAAAAAGGCAAAGAAGAAGAGGAACAAGCAGCAGGGTGGCGCTGCGGCGTCCAACGCTGCGTCGCCCGCGCCTACGTCGGCGGCGGATAAGGGCAAGGCACCCGCGGCGGCGACGCAGCCCAGCCCAGCCCAGGTGCAGGTGCAGGTGCAGGTGCAGGGCCAGGCCGGCAGTAGCGGCGGTGGCGGCGGTGCGAGCTCGACCAGCCCGCAGCCACAGCCGCAGCCGCAGCCGCAGCCCCCCAC